CTTTTGCCATTGAATTTTCTTGGCACCCATGTTGAAAATCAATTCACCATAAATTTAAAGTTTATTTCTGAATTCTCAATTCTACTCCATTGGTCCATATATCTATCCTTATGCCAGTACAACATTGTTTTGATTATCGTACCTTTGTAGTAAGTTTTGAAATGGGAGAATTAGGAGCCTTCCAACTTTGATCATCTTGTTTCAAGACTATTTTGGCTATTTTGTGCATTTTCATCGGCATTTTAGGATCAGCATGTACATTTATACAAAGAAGCTCAGATTTTGATAGGGATTACACTGAATCTGTAAATCAACTTCAAGAGAATTGTCATCTTAATATTTTCTGATCCACAAACATGAGATGTCTTTCCATTTATTTAAGTCTTTAATTTCCTTCAACAACGTTTTGTAGCTTTCAGTATATAAATTCTTCATCTCTTTCATTAAACTTATGCCTATTTATTCTTTTTGATTATATTGTAAATGAAATTTTCTTAATTTCACTTTTGTATTGTTCAATGCTAGTGTACAGAAATATGATTGATAGTTGTATATTGATCTTGCATCCTACATCTTTGCTGAACTTTTTTATTATTCCTAATAGTTTTCAGTGGATTCCTTAGAATTTTCTGTATACGAGATCATGTCATCTGCATGGTTTTACTTCTTCCTTTCCAATCTGATGGTTTTTATTTCCTTTTCTTGCCTAACTGCCCTGGCTAGAACCTCCAGTACAGTGTTGATTGGAAGTGGCGAGAGTAGACATCTTTATCTTGTGTCTGGTTCTTAGGCAGCCATCAGTCTTTCACCATTAAGAATGATGTTAGCTGTGAGCTTTTCATAGATATCCTTTATTAGGTTGAAAAAAGTCCCTTCTATTTCATAGTTTGTTGAAATTTTTTTTTTTTCAGTCATGAAAGGGTGTTGGATTTTTATCAAATGCCTTTTCTGAGTCCATTACGATAATCATGTCACTTTTGTTTTTTCTTCTATTGGTATGGTGTATAATGTTAATTAATTTTCAAATGTGAAACCAACCTTGCATTTCTGGGATAAATCCTACTTTGTGCATAATTCTTTTTGTGTGTTGCTAAATTTGGCTTGCTAGTATTTTGTTGAAGATTTATTAAGTTTTTAGTTGGTATTTCCTAACTTTTTAATAGTGGATTAAGTATAATGTATGCAAGTACAATTAGTTAAATCATTGCATTTTAGCATTCACTGAATGTTAAAAATAGTCCATAAGGTCTTGACACATAGTGATTATATTTTGCTGAAGCAATGGATTTTGCTGAAGTATATATTTAAACCATATGCTACAAGACCAGTGTAAAGAGTGTCACTTAGCTAGTGAGACTAGCCAAAAAGTAAGCTTCCAAATCCCCAGATGCCTTTATTCTCTAATTTAGTTTTGTTAGGCATTTGGGGGCAAAACTATATGCTAGAGTTGCATACCTCATCTGAAGCCCGTTCCTTTCAGTGTCCAATTTTGGTACAGAGGCATATGAAAGCATGCTAAACACCTGTCCAAAATCGAGAAAAACTGAAAAGATTTAAAACATTATTGGAATCTCTCAAAGAATATCAAATGCCATCTGATTCAAGTTCCAATAAAAAAAATTTTTAGAAACCTTTTTCCATTTCTTTCACATTCAGTCTCCCATAGGAACCCATATTTGAGGTCTTCTTTTTTCCGCCATTCTCTGCTTTTCTGTATCCATTCATTTTACCTTTTAGTAGAGAAACTGCACATTTGTGACCCGTAGGCCAAATTTGGTCTATGTGTGCATTTAATTTGATAAAACATTTTAAATACAAATTTAATTAGTTTGCAAGATTTATAAATTAGGAAATGACACATAAAAATCTATGTATCTGATTTCTCTTGAAAAATTTGAGTTTGAAAAAAAAAGAAAAATTGGAGTTTGGTAAAATGTTGCCTTCATTTTACTACTGGCTGGCAGTGAATAGTGACTGCCTCATTCAAATATGATTATTTTCTTCTAGTTTGCTGCGGTCTTTACCATTCCCTATTGTATTACACATGGCCAATTTTACTATTTATGATACAGGCTTAGCCTCTGTAGATATTGGAATTTATGACATTTTAATGCTATCCTTTTTAATATATATTAATTACGCTCTCTCAGATTCCTTCCAATTCTGCAACTTTTTCTATTTATTATATTGAATAGTATAACAAAAGTTCTGAAAGCCCCACAGGATCCCTTGAGCAATGTCTAGAGTCCAGAGATAAGCTGTGGCCTTTTGGGCCCTATAAACATATTAAAATTCCTGTGGAGACCGCTATCTGATAAAAACAAAGAGGAAATCCAAACAACTGGTTACACTAACTTTGTATATGCAAGACCTCTTTCAGGGAAGAAAAGCCCATCTCCAAGAGAGAATAAAGGGGGAAAGTGGTGGGCAGTCTGTGCCTACTGCTGTTAGCTAAGTAGAGATTTACAAAATTGGGTCTTCCTGGAAAAAGGAAGAGGAGATAGGGAAAGAAAAGAGATATTATGGTAACATCAATAGGACCAATGAAAAGGAATTATAATGTCAATGACTTAACATAAATGACATACATACCTCAACTAATGAATTAAGAGCTGTTATTTTCTCTGGAAGTGGCTCCTGTAGGGTTATGTAAATCCTTAACTGTGGGGGGAAAAAAAAACACCTTGTGCTTATTTCAGTCTGTTTCTTTACTTGACCCTTTAAATCTTTATTTGTATTTCTTAAAGACCTCAATTATCTTAGAACAACTGGGACAACTTATAGTATTTAATGTTTACTACAATTAATCTTTCTAGAGCACAAGAACTCCTCACCCTCTTGGGTTTTTTTTAAGGGAAAGAGCAGAGAGAAAGAGAGAGAGAGGGAGAGAGAAAATCTTAAGCAGGTTCCATGCTGCGCAGAGCCCAACTCAGGGCTAAATCTCATGACCTTGAGATCATAACCTCAGCTGAAATCAAGAATCAGATGCTTAACCAACTGAGCCACCCACCAGCCACCGTCTCCATCCTCTTCAGTAGTGACCAATTCAGTTAAAAGGTCAACCTAAAAACAAGACTACATAAATCAAAAACTGCATTTGGAGTACATGTACGTGTTTGGGTTACTGGATTACACTTCAGTAATCCTCTACCTAACAAGAGAAAGTAGCAATATGTATGTGATTCACAAAATAGAGTGAAGGCTGGTTTCCTAAACACGATTCTATATTCATAATTATATAATTGGCCTCAATTTTCTTTTTAACCAGTACTCTGTAAAAAAAAAAAAAAACAACAAAAAAACAGACCTACTTAATAATAATAATTAATTCTTGATTGGTTACACTATTATGATGTCAGATAGAACCCAATAATTTGAACCAAAGTAGGTTAGCATAGTACACTTCAATGAAGTCACTATAGTATATATAAGAAAATTATATTTTATCATTTATTCATTTGTGTTCTTACTTCAAGACTATTTGTTAATATTTGAAATGTGGAGAAAAGAAAACAGTATGTATAAACACAATCATATACAGACTCAGAACAGTTAATAATATGAAGTTCTTAGTTTGTCAAAATGAGCAATCTTTTAGAATTTCTAAAAGAAAGAAAGTTTTATTTCATCCCAAGTTAGGACGGCTTCCCAGGATGCACAATCATCATAGAGAGTCCTCCAGGGAAGGAATATTTTGTGTAGGGTCTACATAAAAAGTTACAAATCATTAGATAAAAGACATTTCAGAAAATTACCTAATCTTAAGCTTTTGGTACATGCAGGGCTGTATGACCTTAATCTTATGGGAACCAGGGAGGTTTTTGTTTTGTTTTTTTAAACTCTTTATGATTGAAATGCTCTTTTTTAGGTTGTTTGTAAACAAAGCAGATGTACAATGTGTACTCAAGGCAGAAACAGAGCCCATGCTTTGAGATTTTGCTGACTCTGGTAAATGTATGGCTTCCCTGAGAGCCCGTGAGCAGGACACAAACACTGAAAGTTGAGAATTCCCTTTATTGTATCAACTCCTGACCTACAGTAACGCCCCAGTAAATGTTGGCTGTAATTTTTACAATCATCACTAATATTGTCTTCTATAGGGCTCTTTACAGTGCCTTGCCTCACAGGCACCTGAAGTTTAGAATACTGGACCCTTCCCCTTCCCCTTCCCCTCCCTGCCTTTAGCATACATTTGGCCAAATCTTCCTCTTACACAACTGGACACAGATGGTTGTTGGACACCTATCATTTTCCTACTGCCCGAACTGGTTTTTGAAAACCCTAAAACAGCAAATCTTGTTGGCTGCAAATCCCCAGGGACAACAATTGTGTAACAGCTAATGCCTTGCCCCATTTTTCCTGTTCCAACTCATGTGCCCTGTTCCCCAGTACCAGTCAAAGGTGCATTAGATTTCGTATCTAACCACAAATTCTCATCAACCTAGAAATCTTAGTTTATCTACAAAGAAAATGAGCTGGTGAGAAAAGGGAGATTCCCTTCATTTAACATTCAAAGAACTACAAAACAAACAAACAAACAAACAACACCTCACCTGCAAGGTGAGCCTACTGAAACGGGAGTATAGCATACTCAAAATTCTACCCAGTTACTGGACAACGACCTTCGAGCCACTCCTGCTGCTGCGAGTACGCTACAACTTCTGCCCTTCTTTCAGAGTCCTTACTACATTCCCTCTTCCTTTGCTCTCCCAACTCCTTCCCAGACTTCCGTTCGAACTTCCCGGGCAAAGCAGAACCCACCAATCACAAACGTCTTTCCTAGGGCCACGCCCCCATCGCCCCCTCTGGGAGCCGAGTCGGATTTCGTGCACACCCCTCCTTCCCTTACGCACGCTGCGCGGGGACGTCGGCCTGTGACGCCGTCGTCGCCCCCGCGCCGAGTCCCGCCCGGGCCGCTCCAGCCGACCGTTGGGCGGCCTGCCGATGTCCCTCCCTCAGGACGTCCCCCCACCCCTGAACTGCTCTCGCGGCAGCGACCCATGTGGGAGTTCAGGCTCCTGCGGTCGCCACCGCTGCTGCTCCTCCTGCCGCAGCTCAGCCTCGGAATCGCCGCGTCCCGCTCGCAGGCCGAAACCATGAACCTGGGCGGCGGCAGCGGTGCGCCGTTCTCCCCGTCGGCGGAGGGGCGCCGGACGCAGTGCCTGCAGCTGTCCACGGTGCCGGGAGCTGACCCGCAGCGCAGCAACGAGTTGCTCCTGCTGGCGGCGGAGACAGCCGGGGAGGGACCGGAACGGCGGGCCCTCCCTGGGGACCGGGCGAAGGAGGAGCCGCAGCCAGCGTCCCAGCATCACGTTCTCTATTTCCCGGGGGATGTGCAGGTAACCTGGGGACTGCCTGGACACCTGTTCCTTCCTCGTGTGCATATGCGAATGTCCCCATTTCCCCCTCGTATTAGTGCGCGGTTCCTTGCCTGTCCTGAACACACCCACACATGCGCTCACGGCATGGCTCTTCCGTTGCTCCACGAAATCCAAAACCGCCCCTGCCACACCCCTGACCCTGTGCTTCTGGAGCCCCAGAGGGAAGGTGTCCTTGGAGGGTTACGACCTCGAAAGAGCCAGCTGTTTAGTGTAGGCTTCGATGGGTTGGAATTTGAGACAGTAGGAATGAGACACAATGTATATCCATTCGATAACTTCGTTTCTCGGAAGTGTATGTGTGTGTGTGTGTGTGTGTGTGTGTGTGTGTGTGTGTGTGTGTGTGTGTTAGACAGGAGACAGGAATGACTTGTAAATTAACTTAGCACTTTAGGGTTCCGAAAACGCTGACAGTAAATTAAAAAGCAAGCAAGTAAAAAAAAAAAAAAAAAAAAAAAAAAAAAAAAAAACAAGGTATGACACTTTCAGTTACCCTAGAAAGGGAGGGTGGGTGGAAGAAAAGGGACAGTAATTAAGCATGTCAATATTTTGATGATCACCTAAATTCTTTACTTTTGTTTTTGTATGTGATTTTATCTTAATTATTATTTTTATAGCTTCAGGCAAATATCTGTGGCTATTTTGTCCTGGAATGCCGGGTCTTAATCTGGATCTTAACTCAGAACCGCGTCGTCTAATACGTTAGCCATTGGGTATATGTGGCTGTTTAAATTAAATAAAAAATCCAGGTTCTCAGTCACACTAGCTACATTTCAAGTGCTCAGTAGCACCTAAGGTTTGTGTGTTTCCTAATGGACAGCACAAATACAAAGCATTTCCACTGAACGTTTCCATCATCATAGAAAGTTCTGTTCGGTAGTGCTGATGTAGATAGCATGGCTTGTCTAGGCAGCATGGTTAGATAGGTTTCTTATACCATGAAACAATATTACTTTATTGTTTTTGAAATTGATGCTTTAAATGATATAGTTACAAACTTTGTGCCTTGTGTCGAGTAATGGTTAAGATATATGTAGTTTTTTCTCTCGTTCTTAAAACAATTGACTAGTCTAATTGACTTCTAATAAAAACTCTGAAAAAACTAGTATTTAGATTTAAGACAAGATACTTAATTTACTCAATTGATGCTCTGTTGCTCAGTTTGGGAAAATAGCCTGGCAATGCTGACAGCAGCGACTTCCAGAGATTTGAGGACCAGCTACTGTGTGCATCATAATGATGATGATGATGGTGATGATAGTAATGGATAGTAGATAGTAAAGGATAGTAACTAACCTTTCTTGAGTACCTATTAAATGTTTATAAAGTGTACCAGCCAGAATACAGTATCTTCAGATGAGGTCTAAAAAGTGCTAAATACACATAGAGTAATACCTCCTTTCGTTTTGACATTATTCACTTCCTAATGTAGCCCGAGATTCCATTAGCTTTTTGGACAGTGATATAGTGTTGATTTATGCAGAATATGAAGTGCTTTAAAAACTCAGGTCCTTTAGAGAAGAATAGGATAATGCATCAAAAGACTTTGAGGCCAGATTGCCTAGGTTTGAACCCTGATTCTGCACTTTTTAGCTATGAAATCTCTGGCCAATTGCAGCTACCTCAACTATAAAATAGGAGTAAAAATTTAGAAGGTATCAGTGAGGACTAACTATATGAATACCTAATGACTAACAGTTTCTTCTCATCTTTCTGATGACCTTTTTTATTATTGGGCTACCCTTGGGCTCAGTTTGTGAACTTTTCTACTCTACCTTTATTCCTTTAGTAATCTTTCAGTCTTGTGGTTTTACATACTATCTGTACTCTGATGACCTTCAACACTTTTGTATGTAGCCTAGATTCCTGGAACTTTGGACTTACCAGTCACCTGCACAATATTGCCTTTTGGATATTTAATAGATATCTCAAACATATCTCAAAGCAAACATGAATCTTTGCCTTTAAATCTGTTCTTCTTGCAGTCTTCCTCATCTCAGTTAATAGAATTTCTTTTTTTAGTTGCTCAAGTTAGAAACCTTGAAGTTATTTTTTAGTAACCTCTCTTTCACACTTCATATCTCACTCAATCAACAAAGTTGTTTCTCCTCCTAAATGTATCTGGAAGTGATCAGAATTATCAATTTGAAATGTAAGTCAAATCATGCCATACCACTGCTCAAAACTCTCCAATAGTTTTCCATGTCACTCAGAGTAAAAGCCAGAGAACTTGATGGTTTGTATGGCTCTTCACTCCTTTACGTTTTCCCATTCTGTTGCTTTCCTGTCTCCTTTTTCTGTTTTACTCTGCCATAGCCACACCAGCATTCTAAATGTCATTCATGGTAGCCATACTTCACCCCAAAAGATTTGCACATACTGCCTGCAACAGTATTCTTCCAGATACCTGTAGGATTCATTACATCACCTGTCTCAAGGCTACTCAAAAGTTGCCTTCACAATGAGGTGTTTTCTGACCAACCTATTTAGTAATCATATATATGCACAGGATTCCTGTCAGTTTTTCTCTTTTATTTTTATCCATTTCATTTACTGTATTAGTTAGTCATTTTGTTTTTTACCTGTCTTCAAACACTACAGTGTAAGCTTCATGTCTGTTTTCTTCACTAATATGTTTATGATGCTTACTGACTGGCATGTTGTAAATATTCAGTAGATAATTTTTTGAATGAAATAAATGAATGAATATATGTAAGTTGCTTTGAGCAATGCATGATGAAGTGCTTGATAAATCTTGGCTGTTATTATATGAAATGCTTTTGGGCTAGATTTCCTCATCTGTATCTTTGTACTTGATTCTTCTGAGCCTAATGTTTATCTATATGAAATTTACGCTGTTAAATACAGCTCAGCTTTTTTATTGATCCTTTTATAGAACCATTATTTTGCTTTGTATCATACATAGATTAAATAAGCATTCTTTCTGTATCTTTATTCTTAATTTGGATAAGTACTGAACAAAATAGGGCCAACGGAACTTTGTAGGGTACCATTAAGAGCTTACCTTATGTTAACACAGATTTGGTATCATTTGGATCTGATGGTCCATGTAATTTAAAATTTTAATTATCATTACTTTGTTGATGTTCCTTTTGCAATCATTTTGTCCTTTTTTATTCTATACTTTTTATTTTCTCATATGAATTAACAGATGAGCTGAGAACATAGTAATTCATATTTCTTTAGGTGCTCTGATTTTGGAGGGGGAATCTATTTTTTTTTAAGTAGACACTTTCCAATTTTCTTGAGTTCTCTTGCTTTGTGAAGCCTCAGGGTGTAAAATTATACTTATCTGTCTCTCTCTTTTAAGTATAAGCTTACAATTTGATGAATTTTGACAAATGTTACAGTTATATAACCAACATCACAATCATGTTATACAACATTGCATCACCCTAAAAAGTACCCTTGTGTCCTACTTCTGTCAGTCTCTTTTCTCAGCCCCAGGCAACTAGTGATCTGCTTTCTTTCACTATAGTTTTGCCTTTTCTAGATTTTCAATAATTTAGAAGCATAGTATGTAGTCTTGTATCTGGCTTCTTTCAGTTAATATATAATGCTTTTGAAATTCATTATTATTGTTGCCTGTATCATTAGTATGTTCCTTTTTATTACCAAGTCGTTTTCTGTGTATAGATATACAGTTTGTTTACTCATTCAGCGCTTGGTGAACATTTGGTCATTTCCAACCGTTAAAGAAATTTTGTTTTCCTAAAGGCTAGGATACATAGTATGCCCTACATATATGTCCTGGTGAGTAGAAGACTCACTCCTTTACTATTTACACTACTACCACACTCACAGTACTTCTGAAACCTGATATGTGGGGTTTTTCCCCATACCAGGTGATCCTCTCTGACACTAGCTGGATATCCTACAGTTCAATTCTGACAGTATCTACCTGGAGTTATTGTCACATTTCATAAGTTAAGGACTGAGTCCCACTAGACTGCTCCCTCCACTTCAGATGCCCATCCAAGTCCCAGGTTGTCACCTGTACTGCTGACCGACTGGCTATAAATTGGGCTTCCCGTGACCCCCTCCATGGGTTCAGTTAATCTGCAGGAGCAGCTCACAGAATTTATGGAAACAGCTTACTTACTATTTACCCACTTATTATGAAAGGATGTGATAAAGGATACAGATGAATATCTAGATGGAAGAGATGCATAGGATAAAGTATGTGGAAAGGGGTATGGAGCTTCCATTCCCTCTCTCAGTGCACCATTACCCTAGGACCTCCATGTGTTCACCAGCCTAGAAGCTACCCAAACCCATATTTGGGGATTAAAAAAAAAATTTTTTTTAATGTTTATTTCTGAGAGACAGACAAAGCGTGAGCAGGGGAGGGGCAGAGAGAGGAGAACAGAATCTGAAGCAGGTTCCAGGCTCTGAGCTGTCAGCACAGAGCCCAATGTGGGATTTGAACTCATGGACCGCAAGATCCTGACCTGAGCCGAAGTCGGATGCTTAACCAACTGAGCTACCCAGGAGCCCCATATTTGGGAATTTTTTTTTTTTTTTTTTTTTTTTAATGGAGGCTTCATTGCATGGTCATAATCAATCATTAACTCCATTTTCCAGTCTCTCTATTGAGAATGGAGAGTGGGACTGAAAGTTTCAAACTTCTAATCATGTCTTGGTCTTTCTGGTTGACCACTTCCTATCCAGGAGTCCACCAAGAGTCATCTCATTAGAGCAAAGATGTTCCTGTCACCCAGGAAATTCCAAGGGTTTTAGGAGCTCTGTGCAAGGAGCCAGGGACAGGTGTGTGGGTGTATGTATGTGTGTGTGTGTGTGTGTGTGTGTGTGTGTGTGTGTATTCTATTATTTTGCACTTGATATATGCTCTGGGGTTTCTTGTGCTTCTTGTTGGGCAGCCTTCTTAGGCTATTATGGTCCTTCTAGCTTGCTTACTTGGGATGTCCACTTTATGCTCA